TCATAAAAAAAGTCATCAATGTTTTTTCCAAGAAATTTTAAGCATATATCGAGCAAATTTTTGAAATTCATACCTTTACTTAATTTTGAATAAAAGCGAAACGCATACATTGATTTTCATGATGTATGTCTCATTTTGTTCATAGGTTATGTGACGTCACGTGACACTTTTTTCCGTTTTGAATTTTTTATGAATTAAAAAAAAAAATTTAATTTTTAGGCAAAAATAATTTTTTTTTTCTTCATACATTTATTTTTACCGGTAAAACTTTTGAGTATATAGAAAAACGTTATATTAACAGATTAAAGGAATTGTAATTTTTTTAAATTTGTTTGAGCAAAATCGGACTAGTGGTTCTCGAGTTATGTCAAAAAAAAGACCACCAAAGGTGACAATTTCCCCTATATGATAGTTACTAACTTCAAATCGATATATCTCGATTCCTAGACGTGACCCAGCGAAACGCCGGGCCACGTATAACTTGTTTTTGACCGATATAACATTTCTCGTTGGTTTCATCCCATCCCGATTTTGACTGTCGCATAGTGTAATTAATGGATTCTTTTTCTTACCAACTTCGATTATAGGTTTTACTGCCCCTAAATCGCCGAAATTACGCACTGTGCGGCGGTTGCTGCAAAGTGCATTGTCTCGACGCCTTCTTTTCTGAAAAATTTGACAATTAAATTAAATAAAATTGTCTTATGTAAACGCAGCGTTATCATGAGTTTTATTTTCGCCCAAAATGTTCACTTTTCACTTTCGAATCCGATAGGCTAAACAATTTTCCGCTAAACATTTGAAACTTAAAAAAGCAAATTATATATTGTTGTCCCAAGCATTTAACGGGGGCATTTTGGTTGTAAACGGGGACAAAGAGTCCGAAACAGGGACATGTCCCTGGAAAGAGGGACGTATGGCAGCCCTACACTAGAATCTACTTTAAGTGTCCTTTGTTCTAACATTGTGGATTAACAATTTCACAGAACTAAAATACGTAATACGGAAACGAAGACCTGGGCCTATTTCATAAAGCGACAGTGATAATTTTGTAACGACAGGCATTTTCCTTATTGTCAGTGACAATTCAACAGTTTGGTGGGTGTTTTATTTCATAAAAATAATTGTCACCACCTCATAAATTCCATGAGGAATTCCATTGAAAAGTGACAAATTGTCATTGTCGGGGTTTAAAATTGTCGTTGACAAAATTGTCGCCAGTCATATGAAGTTTATATGTAAATCATATGTAATAATTGCGTTTGCATTATTTTAGTTTTAAGAAATATCCAAATTATTGAAAAGTAATGATATGCGCGCAATTACCATATAAATAAGTTTACAAAACTCTCCTGTGACAGCTTTCCGACGGGCCTATTTGGTTTTTTCGCTATTGTCGCGACAATTTTGTCAGAATGACTATTGTCAGCACAATTGTCGACAATATTCCATAATATCTCCGTCGTAAGCTTATATGATACAGAAAAAATGTCGCCGACAATTCTGGCGTGTGATTCTAGTGACTTACAATTGTGTATCCCAAACAAACCGGCGGTGTTTGTGCTTTTATAAACAAGACACGGTACCCTGGAAATAATTTCAACCCTCAAGTTGCATCCGTTCGCCGATTCCTGTTGCTCCTATTTCGGGGGACCTCACTGAACATTTTCCAAAAAAAGAGGGTAAAATCCGTCGGGCGCTTTTTGCTATGGTAACTTTTAATAATTCATAAATTACACAGGCCAAAAAAATTTTAAAAAATTTTGTTTCCTAAAATGTTAAAGCTGTTTTCGATAGCCTTTTTTATGCTGATTACGAATCTGTAAGTATAAAGTTTCCAACAGATTTAGATTTTGAGAAAAACGTGGTCAAAATATCAAAAAATCGCGCTTTTTGAAATATTTGAGAAGCTCCAGCAAAAATAATAAAAGATGATAGAATCTTCCAACTGGGCTAGATTAAAGCTATGTAGAACTTTACTATCTCTGAAAATACCATTCGTGCACCTTGACGTGATGGTCACTTATAGTCATTTATTGAACAAAAAACTTCGATAAAATCAGTTTTTGTCCAATATTATTTTATTATGTAGCTCATTTTTGAGTATGTTAAGAAAATAACTTGTGTCAAAACCAAGCTAATTGGACAATGGTTTTGAGTACTACTTAAACACATATACTCATCATTAAACATACAAAAAAGCAGAAGAGTCTGTTTTACGAAAGCCAAGTCATGTTTTCACATTTTATTTACTGCCTTTTTACACTTGTTTTAACGTTTGCCATCTTTTTACATTAAAATAATGCAATATTTTAGCTGCTATTAATTTCGCACAGAAAAAGTTATCCTTTGACCTAATGTGCAGTGGTATGAACGCGTATCAATGCAAAAATCCATTGTGATTTGTGGTGATTTTAATATAGACATGATATCTTCATCAGCATACAGTCGTCGTCTTCGAAATTTCCGTGATGATAACGGTAGACACACTGACAAGGGTTGCAGAAAATTCCTCAACTCTTATCGATTTATGTTTGATAAATATTGATCTGAAAAAACTTCGTGCATTGTATCTATTGACGACCGAATTTCCGATCATGCGATTTTAGACATTAAAATTAACGGTCGTCGCAATAAAGTGTTAAATAAATAGTGATATAAATACTAAAATGACTTGGTTCATCAATACTCTTAAAAATGCAACTGATCAATTCAAAGGCACAAAAAAAATTACAACAAAACATGACTTCTTCGTTTCAGAATTAGAAAAAATTCGTTGCGAAAAAAATCGTTTGAATAAATTGACCCAATCCTCTTCTAATAATACCGTAACTATAAAAATGAATACAAAAAAGCGATTCAAGTTAATAATAATAATAATAACCAGGGAACGGATTTTTAGGACCTCAAAACCTATTAAAAAGGCAAAATAAAGTAACGAAATAGGCTGGAAAAGGCAAAATAAAATAGTGAAAAAGGCAGGAAAAGGCACTAGGTATTGCAAAAAAGGCAAAAAAAGGCTAAACAAAATAGCGAAAAAGGCAGGAAAAGGCAAAAAAAGGTATTGCAAAAAAAGCAAAATAAAGCACTAAAAAAGACAGAAAATACGAAGAACAATCAAAAAATATATTTATTTTAGAAATGCTTATATTACAAGTAAAAAGAGAAAAACTATGAGCTAGTTTCATTATATGAAAAATTTGTACTTTGAATCTTTGACTATTTTATCCTTTCAGGTTTCTAACTCATAAAACTTTAATCTGTATAGTTGTAGTAATATTGAACCACAAGATGCATTTTGAAGTTTTCTGGCAGCATTTTTATTGGATTTTCGCGAAGAAAAGCCTTGAATGTACTAAATGTGCGCTCGACGTAAGTTGATACAAGTGGAGCCCAATTTAAATATGAAACGTTTTAAACGTTCATATTATCAGAAATAAGGGCGCTTTCCTCGCCCTTTACAATTTTATCCACACCCCTTATTGTCTTCAAGCCTACGTTAGCTGAGAAAACGGAATTTTTTCAACAACAATTTGGCAAGAGGTCCCTGTGCTTCTATAAGCCGCATGGGCATGTGAATATTTTTTAATCTTAAAAAAAAATTGTAAATGCTATAATCACTTTTTTAAAGGTTAAAGGTAGAAAAGGCAAAACAAGGCAAATATCTTAAAAAAGGCAAAAAAAAGGAAAATATCTTAAAAAAGGCAAAAAAAGGCAACTTCAAATGTGTATATATGGAATCAGGGAAAGCTAAATCGTGGACATTCTTAATCGAATATACTCTATCTCCTTAGCAGAAAAAAAGGCAATTTGCATAAAATCCGTTCCCTGATAATAACAGATTGACGCTTACACATATGTTAGTGTTTGGCCGATCTTCTCCTCCGACTTGTTGCGTACGCCTTGATATTGTCACACAAAGCGGAGGGACCTACAGTTTTACGCCGACTCCGAACGGCGATTGTATTTTTATGAGAAGCTGTTTTTAATAGCAGAAATACTCTCGGAGGTTTGCCATTGCCTGCCGACGGACGACCGCTGTTAAGAAAAAACCTTTTTTCTATATTTTTTGCGATGTTGCTTTGACCAGGGTTTGAACCCGGCGGCCGATAAGTTAATAAGTTTACCTTAAATCAGCGCAAATTAAACAGTGTATATCGATGGCTGAGTGGAAGATCGACCTATCTCGGCAGCCAGTTCGAAAAGGCCCTATCTCAGAAAATTTTTCAACATCGTTCTATCTCAGAAAACTTTTCAAGAAGGCCATACTTCAGAATTTGATTGAAAAACACCCTACCTCAGAATTTGGTTGAATAACGCCTTATCTCAGCTGCCGATTCAAAAACGCCCTATCTCAGCTTATTTTCAATGTATTTTCGGTTGAGATAGGGCGTTTTTGAACCGAATTCTCAGATAGTGCGTTCTTCAACAAAATTGTGAGATAGTGTTTTTCAATAAAATTCTGAAATAGGTTTTTTTTAATAAAATTCTGAAGTAGGGCGTTCTTGAAAAGTTTTCTGAGATAGGGCGTTTTCGAACCGGCTGCCGAGATAGGTCGATGTTCCACTTAGGGATGCAACATCGTTCTTAAAAACATCGATGTTTGAAAACATCGATGTTCTCAAAACAAACATCTATGTTAAAAACCATCGGTTTAAAAAACGATACATCGATGTTTTTCCGATATTTTAATTTATCATCTACTACCCGATATAAAATGAGGTCAGAAGCCTTTTTTTAACTCAAAATAACTAGATTCACATATATGCTACAAATGTAAGTAAATGTGTATGTAGCTATACTTATGTAACTACGACGTACCTAAAATATAAATTTACCTATTCCAATGGTTTTAATAAAATGGATTTTAAAAAGAAAACACATTTTCTCAATTAAAAAAGGAACATTTTAATATATGTACATATACGAACTTCCTTCAAGGAGCATATTTCAATACAAATATTAGCATGTAGCTATAATTATGATGTAAGTACCTTAAATAAATCTTATTTGTTTGAATATAAAAACTTTGAAATGGAGTTCAGGAAAAGAAGCCTATTTCTATCCTGAGTGATGGTTGCACCAGCTTGCGAGAACAAGCGCTCGCTTGGCACAGACGTGGCAACGATGGGGAGGTATATCATTGCAATCTTTGGAAGTTTCGGGAACAGGGATTTCATATCCTCCCAAATTTCAATAGCGTCTCCTTTTATTGGTGTAACAGGAGACGACAGGTACATCTGAACTTCTGTTTCACCGACAGTTTCTGTCATAGCAGCAGCAGGGAATTTATTTTTCATGTTCTTGTGGGTAAGCTGTTTGTGATATTTCCAGATGTCAAAGTCTGAGTCGTGTTTATCAGACTCATCGGATGTATCATTATAGGTTGTAGGTGAGCTGTTGTATTCACGCACATATTTGTTTAAATAATTAATTACTCTGCCTTTGGCCCAGGCATTTTTAAAATGCATAAACTTAAATCTACGATCGAGAGTACTTGAAATGGCAAGAATTGCAGAATATTCTAAATTATCAAATCTTCTTGCTAGTTGTTTTTAATCTCTTCTTTAAATTCAGAAATATTTTTATTTTTAGGTTTGACATTTTCTACGATTTCCCTGGCGCAACTCACTAATGGAATGACTTTGCTAACCGTTATGTAGCTATCTCCAGAAATTTCTTTTGTTAATTTTACAAATGGACAAAGTAATTCTATAATTTCTTTTACCCAGTCTATTTCACTGCTTGAGATCATTGTGGGAGCTAGTGGTCAAGTCAAAAGTATTGCTCCTACAATGGGCACTAATTCAATGAACCGCTGGAGCATGTAAAAGCACGAGTTCCATCTTTTTCGAATATCAAGTATCATTTTTTTGACTTGACCTTCTTTCAACCCCATATCCGTTTGCCTTTTCCTCAGCTCGTCACTTGCGTTAACGTTCTTTTTTATAAATTTCACTATATCTCGAACCTTATTTATTAAATCAGTACAATTTTTTGAATCGTCAATGGATTTAGCTACAACTATATTGATCGTGTGAGCAAAGCAAGGAATAATCTTTTTTTCTCCAAACATGTCACGATTGACTTTCATCACCGTGCTATCATTATCTGTGATGATGGCTGAAACCTTGTCAATGGAAATATGCCACTCCTCAAAAATATCTTTGAGCTTTTCAGTTATGCACACAGATCTATGGCCTTCTGTCATTTCAAAAATACCCAGCGTTCCACTGAGGAGTTTAAACTTGTCCAAAAAATGTATTGTAACACCTAGAAATGATTTATTTTGCATTGGCTCCGTCCAAATATAATAGGTAATGCAATAATTTTCAGCATTCTTTATGTATGTTTTAAAAAGATTACTCATTTCCTCATATTTATCATGAATCCTAGACTTTATTGTCTCTCGACTAGGCATTTTGTACAACGGACAAACTTCCCTCATCAGCTGTGAAAAACCTTTACCTTTTACGGTGGAAAATGGTCTATTGTCCATGATTATAAAGTTTGCTATAGCATCAGTAATTTTTTTTGATTTTGCTCCATCCTGTGCCGTTATGCTTTTTATGTTGCTTATGAAGTCATCAACACTTGGCTGTGCAGATTTATTGAAACTATGAGTAACAGTGCTTGATGATGTACTAGCAACTGAATTTTGTGTGCCTCTAACGCTCTCGGAACTGGTCGAAGAATTGCCATTTACGCGGCTGTTCGATGTTGAAGGAAGGTCGACCTTATTTAAAACACTAGTCTCAGGCGTTGCAGCATCTATTCCAATAAAGTCAGTAATAACTCTTTTTGTCTTTTTGCTTGGTACTTCTGAATTTTCCCATTGCTGTGAATGTACTTTGTCCAGGTGACCACGAAGATTGGTTGTGTTACCTGGAGTTTTCAGGTTCTTATTACATATTTTACACACAGCTTCCCTGTCACCAATTTTGGTAAAATAGTTCCAAATTCTACTTTTCAATTTATTGGGTGGCATCGCTTCCTGTAAAGAAGCGAAATATACAATTACAAAATACCTGTCAATAATATACACATAATTCTTTACTTACCACCAACATAAAGTAGCGAGGCAAGAGTACAATTGACTAAGCAAACGAACGCTGCTGATACAAACAGAAGCAACATCAACCGAAAGCGCAGTGCGGCAACGTGAACACGTGACTTCGGACAAATATCTTATTCTAGTTGAAACCCGTAGCCTAATTGTAAATTTGGGGCAAATGAAATTATAGACTACTTACAAATAATAAGCATATACAAGTTTTATGATTAAACCTTACTTATCCCACTGCAAATGCAAAAACACGCTAATAGAGCAAAACAATTATCAAGCAAACAAATTAAGGTACGGCGCGGTAAATTTGCCGCTTGTCGGTCAGCAGAGTACGAACGGAATGAATGAACGATGTCGATGTTTCTCACTTTTCTAATCGATGTATCGACGATGTATCGCCCAGCAAAATATCGATGTCAACATCGATGTTTATGAACGATATATCAATATTTTGCAAACATCGATGCATCGTTGGCTAGAGAGCAACGAATCAACATCGTCTTTGCCTGTTGCGCTTTGTTTCTTGTATGCAAAAATGCCTTGCAAGAAATATTACATTCTTGAAAATGCTTTTGGTGATATGCAATGCCTTTTGTGTTATAAGTCATTTAAAAAATAACGAATATGCTATTCAAAGACATTGTAATACTTTTGATAACGAAACATTTTGATGAAGAAGAAATACAACGACTTTTTAATGAAAAAAAGTTAATTTTTTCAAAGAACTAAAGGATGGTTGTTAAAGGGAATATGTATGCGATTAAAAGGCATTTTTAATCACATCATAATGGTATGGAAAATTTTGATGAACATGAATTTCAATTTTTTTATTTAAATTTTTAATATTTGACGTGGGTGAATCCAAATGAATTTTGAAATTTTTTATTAGAGTTTTACTTAAATATTTTCATAACTCAAAAAACTAAAAACTCGAGAAAACCAGGTTTAAAGTTTTGAATTTACATATACTCCCAAGGGAAAAATTAATATATATTCAGCTTTATCATTTGTTTCCATGAGTTTACTATGCGCGGATTAGAGGTGTCAAACTATCGATGGTACTATTGATAGTATCGATAGTTTTATTTTTTTGCCCCTATCGATGAGTAGTGATAGTTTTTCTCAAAAAAGGTTAAACTATCGATAGTTTAAAACCTCTAGCACAGCCGATTTTATTTATAATGTCTCCATGTAGCTGCGCGTCAGTTTTTTAAGTTTGTCAATTTTTTATTATGAGTGATACTTTCATTGTGATTCCTCCTTTAATGGCCGTTTTCCAAGCAACCTTTAATTAAAAAGCTCCCTTTATATTTAAACGTTGCTTCAAACCATAAGTCTATGTCTGAAGTAAAGCATTTCTATTATCGTTATTTGACGTTTGTATATTTCTTGGCTGTAAACAAATCAAAAAATTATATTACGAAATTTAAACAAAATATATCATATTTGAAAATTTATAATAAGTAACAATTAAACAAGGCAACAGTGATTTTGTTGCGGCAAATGATAAAGCTGTTTTTGATAGACTTTTTTATGCTGATTACGAATCCGTAAGCATAAAGTTTCCATCGGCCCCGGATTTTTAGAAAAACGAGGTCAAAGTGTCAAAAAATCGCGTTTTTTGCAATATTTTAGAATGTCCACTTAGCACAAAAAACAAAAAGTGAAAGAACCTTTAACTGGGGCTTAAATTAAAGCTATAGCCCTCGGCTACTATCCCTGCACCTTGACCTGATGGTCACTAAAAGTCATTTATTGAACAATACAAAAATACTGGAATAAATACGGTGCTATTTAAAAAAAAAATAAGTTTTGCCAAAAATCAGTTTTTGATGTTAAATAAATAACTACAAGTGACCTTAGAGTTAAGGTTAAGGGATGGTATTTTATGCGATTGCATTCGAAAGTTCAAGCATTAATTTCTGCCCAAGTGGAAGGCTCTATCCCATTTTGTTTAATTGAGGTGGGTACTCAAACTTCGCACAAAATCAGGTTTTGCCGTTAAATAAATGACTATAAGTGACCATCAGGTCAAGGTGTAGGGATAGTATTTTCAGGGATAGTAGTTGAGACTTCTAGCTTTAATTTAAGCCTAATACTGCCTTTTGTTTCTTTGCTAGAGCTTCCGATTTTTTGACATTTCGACCTCGTTTTTCACAAAATCTGGAGCTGATGGAAACCTTATGCTCATGGATTCGTAATCAGCACTGACAAGTCAATCAAAAACAGCTGTAACATTTGCCGCAACAAATTTTTTCCCATTTTTGTTGCCATGTGTTATAGATCATAAGAAGAAGCTTTCTTTACTAGGCTCATAATTTTATTTTTAATTGTAAGCTTCAGTAACTGACAGAACTATACATGTTAAAGCAAAATTTGAACATGAAGTGAATTTTAAAGTTAAAAGTCACTTAAGAAAACGGCCCTACGTGTGTTTATATTTTCAATATTTTGTTTTTTTTTGTTTTTCGATGCCGTCCCTGTTAATTTGGAACAGTTTTTAACATTACATTGACTATCGATAGTAATATCGATGGTAGCGTTTGACACTATCGATAGTATTGCTGGAAACTATCAACGAGTAACGATAGTTTTTTTCTGAAACATGGAAACTATCGATGGTGGCACTATCGATAGTTTTACAACCCTAGCACGGGTGAACATTTTTCGGATGAATTTTTTTTCGGGCGAACCTCAGGCTGATTTTATTCTAGTGAGCTATTGGTAATCGTTACAGCTATGAAATTTTTACACATCATAAGAAAGAGCGAATGTTCATTCTTGCATACTTAACCCGATTTTTGCTTTTTTGGGATTACGATACTTTTGTAGTACATGAGCGATGCACATATATGTGCATATGTATGTGTTAAACATATGTATTTATATGTTTTTATTGAATACCGATAAGTTAAAAATTTTGTTTCACTTCTCGTAATTTCCTACTGGGTTGCTCATGCGGAGCAGTTCTCTTGTTCTCACCAACACAGTCACAGTTTAACTTTTGCCGACCCAAGAATGATAGAATACAAGATTGCGCCAATCGAGCTGAGAGCAACTGGCCGTGACGTCAAAATATACCAGAATGAGAGAGCAAGACGAACTCGACAAGAAAAAGAAGAAGCATCGAACAAAAGGCAGTATTGCCAAGTTTTGAATTTGAAAAAGCACCAACTTTTATTGGTGTATTTTATGGACTTTATATGAATACATAATTTTATTGTAAGGATGCCGATTCAAATTAATAAAAATCAATGTTTCTTGCACAACTGTCGATTTCTTCTGGCATGATTGAAGGTGCTGCACATATTTCGATGTCGTTTATGATTGTCACTGTGCCATGATTTTGTTTAAATTTTTGTAAAATTGCTTAGCACACTTACGATTGCTATAAATTTTGCTTCCATTTTTTTAAGATTTTCTAAATTGAAGTCTTCAAACCAAAAACAAAAGCACCAAAAACGCACCAAGCACAAAACTCAAAAATTTTCGCGTTTTGAATACCCACTAAATTTGGTGCGAAAAGCATCAAGTTGGCAGCAGTGAATGTAAACAAAAGTATATTATGACGTCAGCGATTGGGTGGATGCTGTCAAATCGACGAAGAGAGGGTTAGCGGTCCGCGAATGGCGCGACCCTTATTTTCTGGATCGTGTTGCCGACCACTGTTCTAGATGCAATTTTCGTCGTTGGCAGTCAGCTAGTTAATATTAGCTGTGTTTTATTTGTCCAGAAATTTAAGCTATTAGCTTATTTTGTATGGAGGACTTACCCAACATAATTATATTGGCTTATGAAAAGCTATCTTGGCTTGTATATTGAACAAGAGGCATTGCCATTCAGCATCAGAAATTTTCTCCTTCAGCCAATCAGAAAGAGGCAAAAGCTTACTTTGACACTATTTGCAGTCAAACAACTGTCAAAATTAGGCTAACATAGGAAATAAGCTAATTTCGTTTTATTGACCAAGATTTAGCTATTTGCTTGTGATGGTTGAATAAAACATGCCTATTATTAATCATTAATTTGAAACTGGTATTTTCCCGGACATTTTAAAGAATTCAACAATTATTCCTGTCCCAAAAGTTTCTGGATTTATCCATATTGCTGGCCATCGACAAATAAACACACTCTCTTATTGTGAACATCTGATTGAAAAATTGGCGTACACGCAATTTGCAAATTAATTATATTGATAAAACTCAAATGTTGATTGACATCCGGGTTTCGAGAACATCATTTCTGTGAATCCGCGATAAATGATGTTTTATATGAATGGAAAATAGGTTAAAATGATTCTAAATTTATCATGGCAGTTTTTTTGAACCTCAAGCGTACATTCGAAACCGTCGATACAAATATTTTATTATGTAAATTGAAGTCATATAGTGTGAAAGGAACCTCACTTAATTGGTTCAAGAGCTATCTAGAAAATCGTAAGCAAGTAACCAAGACAAATGAAGTGATTTCTAGAGAAGCAGTTAATCACCTAGGGGAGCCTCAGGGATCTATTTTGGGTCCATTGATACATTAACGATTTGCCGAATTGTTTAAAGCAGTGATTCCCAAAGTGGTCCAGGTGGACCCCCAGGGGTCCGAGGGGGACTCGACGGGGGTCTACGTTGGCGTGAATAAATATGGGGGTCGATGAGTTGTAAGTGGGGGTCCAAGAAAATTTATATGTTTTCGATAGTAAAGAACCAAATGGTTGCTTGATAGCCTCTCTATTAAATTTTTTTGAGTGGCGCATAAGGCTCTTGACGCACTGCTGCATTTACCGTCACTTTGTGTTTTTATACGTGAGAAAGCCTTAAAGGCCACCTGCAGACTAAAAAGAACCGGATGTTGGTATAACACTGAGTGGGGCGCAGCGGAAATTGCTGGCGGCAGAGATTTAAGCACTTGTGTATTTTCAATGCTACAGGATAGTACGCCACCATTACTTTTGTTGAAGAGATTCTATAATGTTGAGTTCCCTGAGACGGAATGCTGGTTAGATTCCATCACTGAGATCGGACTCACGAGTCTTCACTGATGGCTCCAAAACTGACTCTGGGTCATGATCTGGGATCTTTTTCGAAGTTAATGTGGATAAGCTTCACTTTTCTGTTGGGGAATATGCTTTGGTCTTCCAGGCTGAGGTAATTGCAATCCTCAAAGCCATGGACTACATGGTGGAACATAGGTGGAGGGGAAGTAGTTTACGTGACTGCAGTGACAACCAAGCTGCACTTAAGGCATTGACCAGACCTCTAACTACTTCCAAACTAGTTCGGCAATGCAAGTATCGTACTCTGGGGACCAGGTAACCTGGTAATGAG